CTTTCTCAAAAACGCTAATCTCACGAACCTTAAGAAAATCGTAGTGGCAAAGAGTGTGAAATTCTCTATCTACTGATATTAATTAATTAACTAGTTTTTTTGGGACATTGATTTTATCAACAGAAAAGTGCCGGCAAAGAATAGGCAATCACAGTTGAATAACTGATGAGGAAACTACCATAACTGATACTCACCATTTGAGATCATATCGAATCTACAGGCAGACTTTAGTGAGAACTGCAAAAAGCTAAAATGGTTCGTCTCCATGGAACTCTGCCACCGCGTTATGATTATTTTAGTCGATTTTCATTCCAAAATTTTGCCTGCATAGAGGTCTAATGACCCTTAGAGTATCCTGAAAGTTTCAGCCGAAAAGAATGCTTGTTCGTCAGGATATTGAATTTCAAAAAATACCTCTGTGTCACAAAAATCAAGTTTACTTGAAAATTTAATATCTCAACCAAGGAACATTGTTTTCAGCTAAAATTTTCAATAAAATATCCCGTAAACCGGTAATAACTCGACGTTGAAGGCCAATAAGATCGACAACCCTTTTAGGTTTTTTCTATTCTCTTTAAAACTTGCCTATGCATCCAATGAGAGCTCAGATGGCAGGTATCATTTGGAGTAGCTTTCTCGTGAATCTTTTAAACTTGATGCTAATAAGATTAAATTTATTTAACAAACAAAGTTAACTTTTTGAAATTCTCTACCTTTTAGCATATAAAGACAACTCTTTCTATTTAGGAAGTAAGAAAAAACTGAACGAAGATTGAGTGAAATTTATTCTAGAGCATATGTTATTATTAGAATTACTTCGTTGTTCTTGATGTTGATGTTGTTGGCCACCTCCGCCACGACGCCCACCACCTGCAGAACCTCCTCGTTGATATGATGGCATTTCAGGAGGTGGCGCTTGTAATTCTGTTGTTCGTCCACCACGATCAGGTACCTATATATATATACATATACCATTAAACATTCGTCTCTTCCTCCACTCAGAAAACAAAAGACTAAAGAATGTAGCAATAAATAAGCAAACAAAGCGAACTGATGTTATTCGACTATTCTTAAAAAATTTATTAAATACCATTTTTTTGAAAAATATTTTCTTGTATTAAAACATTCTTATTATCACGAGTCATTTTAAATAGATTTTTGTCTTACTTTTGGAATTAAAATTTTATGAAGTTTTGATCGAGTTGTTGCTATTTCTTTTGTACCGCATGTTTTTTCCATATGACATAAATCTTTAATAAAGAGAAAACAAGTAAAATTTCAGAAAAACGTTTTTTTTTTTTCTCAATTTTTACCTTCACGAGCAGCCATAATATCTTCAACTCGTACATTTGGTTCAACTGTTAGTGCTTTACGTTTACTCATAAAAGCATTCGAAATTTCATCCGTTTTATCCTAAATTTATATTTAAAAAACAAATAATAGAGTTTATTTCACTTGTATACTTTTAATCGATCAGCCCATTTAAATGATTGAATCGTAACATCAAGTCGTTTGAGTAATAATTCTCTTCGAGTTTTATAATCATCATATAAAACTTTATTTATTTTATGTATTTGATTCCATTGATTTTCTGACATATTAATTTTTAATAATGATCGACCCAAATAATTTGGAGGTAAAGTTTTTAATAATTCACTAACTTTACCATAAACTTTTGCACATATTTGTCCAGCTGTTATTCCATCAGGTGGTCGAGGGAAACCAAGAGCTATAAGTAATGCTTTTAAATCTCGAGCTTCATCACTTTCATATTGCTAAAATAAACAATAGAATCTATTTAATAACAAAAAGAAAATTCTATATAATACCTTTTTGTTCGTTATATTTTCTGTTCCATTAGTTATTATATCTCTTTTAAGACATTTATTCATTTTAGCTGCTTGAATCTCTGTGCAAAGAAAGTCTGAAGCAAAAAACCAAGACAGAAGACTTGATACTAAAAATTATTAAAATAAATCCAAATACTAACCTAGTAATTGTAAACGTGATAAACGATCATTTAATCTATTTTCACTCTTAACAAGATTTTGATAAGGACAACCATAATCTCGAAGAAAACCACCAAGTTCAAGTAAAAAATTTGATATATCATTAACCGCTGAATAAGAAAAAGAGAAAAGAAGATTTTTCAATTAATTAAATGAAGAAAACAAATTCATCAACTAATGCACACAATTGATATTTTGAACAAATTCGCCTATTGAATAAAATCCATTTAATTCTTGTGTTAACCATGCAACTAATTTTGCATACGGAAGAAATGCTTCAGATTTTAAATCTGAATTAAGAACTTCTTCTAATTTTGCTTCATTGTTTATTTCACCAGTATAGCTATTAAAACAAAAGAAAAAGGAAAAGTATTATTCTTGAGATATTTAGTAGTTAAATTCTAATCGAATTTATTGATACGAAAGGAAAATAATCATGGTGAATGTGAAGATCAGATTAATAAAAACAAACAAATAGATCTGTTTATTTTCAGTAATTTATAAACATTCCAGAAGCTTAGTGTGCACTTATAATCAACAGAGTTTTACTAAACTTTTCACTGTTTTTCTTTTGTGAAGATATAGAAATTTAATAAGTTTAATCTAATAAAAAGTCAATCCTCAACGTTGAAAATAATAACTCTAACACTGTTTGTATTACTTAGTCTTAAAATTGATTTTGGACCAAAAACATTCAGATCTCATAAAGTCCTCACTATATATTGTAGCAGTAACGAAGAGGCTAAGGTAAATTTTTCAGCTTAATACCATGATGCTTTCATGAAATATTCATCTAACAAGGGTAAAAAGAAAAATTAATATAAGAAACCGAAATTCTCTGCGGTTTTTCAGCCTATAAATGTTTTTTTTTCTTTTGTTTGAAAGAATATGTCAAGTTGGAGAGTCTGAAAGAGCTCTTTGTTTTGTTTGAAGGAAAAGGTGACAAGTCTAATACAGCAAACAACTCTAAAAGAATTGACATTTTTTGAAATATTTTTGCACTACTGGATTTGTCATCTCTTTCTCTAACAAAAGAAAAAAAGAAAAATTTAAAAAATAACTTTGTCAAACCCTACAGTCAGACATGCTCTTTCAAACAAAAGAAAAAAAAACATTTATAGAGTAAAGGCCCGTAGAGAATTTTGGATTGCTCGTTTAGCTTTTGTTTGATGTATATCAGATGAAAACATCAAGGTATCAAACTGAATATTTCCGTATAGTCCCTCTACAGTTTCAACATATTCTAAAAATCTCACGTGATTTGAATGTTCTTAGTCCGAAATCCATTTTAACGAGGGAGAGTCAATAAAATATTCAGATTCTCTATTTCGAATTAATATAATAAAAAGCACAAAACTAATTTTTGAATTATCTTTCATAGATTTTGTCTCAAGTTTTGAAACCAGAGAAACATCATTTTAAAGCTAGTATTCTAACTGAAAACTATTTGTTTTAATCTATTAGAGATGAAGAAATCTTTCTATCTACTCATTAGAATTTTTCAAACTAAGCATTATTTTTCTTTTTTAAATTGTGATTAAAAAATAACACAAAAGTTCAATTTATTATTTCATAGCAATATATTAAAATATTTGAAAAAAGAACTTTTTTCGTCTAATCTTCACATTCGCCAATCAACCAAAAAAAAAGAAATAATCCAATTTTGAATAACTCTAAAATCAAAAGGACCATTTAAAGGTCCCTACTTTATATCATTGAGTGAATCAAGAATGCCAGCTGTCATGTTCTATAATATTTTTTTTTTCAATCAAAATCTAAAAACAAAGAGACATTATAATGATGATAATAATCAATGGGAAGTTGCTTGATTTTTATTACCATCGAAATTATCAAAAAAAAAAAAAATTCTCTAAATATTCTCGAAATAGAAGAAAAAGGAATCTACTGAGAACTAGACAAGAATAACTACGGGATGCAAGTTTAAATTTTAAGGGAGGAAAAAAAATATAGTTAGTCAAATATTATCTGTTCAATTTGATTCAACGTCGTGCAAACCAATAGAAAACTGTTGCTCCTCCAACAGCTAATGCTAATTTACCAATTTGAATATTTCCCCATGAAGCTAATAATGATTTAGCTTTTTCTGATTTAGCATCAAGTGTTAAGAATTTCAATTGTTCAGCAACTGGATTTTCAACCAATGCACAATATGGAAGACCAGCTACAAAAATTTTTTTTTTTTTTCTCTCAATAAGAAACAAGTTATTGTTTTTAATTTAACTTACCAAGCATTAAGCCTGAACCAATAAGCCAATATTTATCTTTTGTTTGTTGATAAGCTAATGCACCTGAAACTCCACTTACAAGTAACATTAAATTTGTTAAAACTTTTGATCGTTTATGTGCTTCAATTAATTGTGGTAGAGCATGCTCACCAGCAATATTCATTCGTGCATCATGATTAACAAATATTTCTCCTAAACCTCCACCAACACTCATAACTGACGACCATATTGCAAACTAGAAAAAAAGATTTTATTTATCAATTATGAATTCTATCCCATTGAACCTACATGGACACCTTCAGCAGCAATTTTATCAAGAAGACTACGTTGTGCGAGAGACATGTTTTTATTTTATTTTTAAAAATTTTGATATAATCTGAAAGATGAAAAATTTGATGATGTAAGATGCAAAAATGGTGATGCTTACATCAGTACTTCTTGCCTTCCTACGTATGCGTTTGGATAAATTTACGACAACGCAACAAGAAAAGGGAGGAACATCAATGACTCATTGATAATAAACACACTTGTGCATTTTTATTTATTATTAAGAAAAAAATTAATTTCAAAGTTCAAGATAGTTAATTCTATAGAATAGAATTTTTCGTTTTTTATATGTTTTTTTAAATAAATCATTTTCATTGGAAGTTATATTGTTGCTAAGTAACTATACAATATGGAAGTGATGAATGGTTGAGATTTTTTATTTTATTGTATTAAAATAAAAGCATTTTTCTTATTCAATATGACAGCTTCACCTAAAGTATGAATTTTTTTTATAATAAAATAAGATTTTAATTTAACAAAAAAAAAAAAAATAACCATATCTCGTTTTGTATAGCGTTTATTTGCGATTAGCTTAGAGGAAATTGGTGATAAACCAAAATTTGCATGGCAAACTGGTCATGGTACACATATAGCTGCTGTTGGGTAAAAAAGAATTCAGTTTTAGAAAAAAGAAATTAAATTAATTTGTAGGTCATTAAATGTTATTACTATTCGTAATCGACAAGGTGATGAAATTGCTTCGATTCCTTTAAAAGGGTAAACAATAAGAAATAGTAGGAAAAAAAAGCTTTGTACTTTGTCTTTTTGATTCTAGATCATGTCTACAAATGAACTGGGATAAAGATGGAGATACATTAGCAGCAATTACAGAAAAATCAAATCTAGTTTATTTATGGAGTGCAAATAGTCAAAAAACAAATGTTATTGATACACCAGCAAAGTATATTATTCATTTTTTTTTGCTATTAGAAGAAATACATAGAATGAATTGTAATAACATAGAAAAAAAACTTGAAAAGTCATTTAGTCTATTTTTAATCATTTTTAGGAAGTGAAAAGTTAAATAATATCTTTTTTTTTTAGGTCTAATGATTACGTTTATTATTATTATTTCTTCTACAGATTAGTATCATTTTATAAAATTATTAGAATAGATATGAAAAATTAGTAAAATGTCAAACACATGACACTGAAAAAATGGAATTTTCGAAAGTCAATAGTAATTTTGACGTATAAATAATTTATTGTTCATTCTTTCGCTTGATAAACATGTTATCGGAAACAGGTCAAACTTCGATAGAAAATATTTTGAGTAGAATTTGAAAATCATGAAGAAGATCTTTTGTCTTTCCTCAATTTCTACAGAACAGCTCATCAAAGAAATTTGAAAGTTTCATTGTAAACAGATCTCAATGAGTAGAACACATTGAAATCACAACGCCTAAAAATTATCTTCTAATTTTGCTTCATTTTCTCAGTCGTAACGCGCCTCATCAAGCTACACATTTTGTCAAATACAATCGAAAAAGTTTAGAGGCTTATAGAATAGAAATTTGGACCTATCCTCCCTCTCTACAGACCGTGACAGACATTTTATCAAAATTAACTAATAAATCTTTAATTCATGCCAAGTTAACGTCTAATAACGAGCTAATTAATAACTCATTAGTGACGCCTCGATGAATAATTAATGAAAGGAATGTTCAGGGATATAGGAGCAAAAAAATAAATCATCTTCTTTTCACAGACCCCTGGGACGTCGCTACTGACTGTGCAAGATGTTGTTGATATACAATCAAAGACTGTAAATCATTAACATTTTATCATAATATATGAACAATTTGCTGATTCTAGTTCTGAAAGAATAAGGAAAAGGACGATTTAGAAATATGTCGCAAAATAGATGATTTAAAACAATCTTCTTACGAATATCAAGCGAGTTGAATCGTGTGTAATCTTTTAATGCCGCAGGGATTGTGCTAACAACTTCTTGTTTTTTTTTCATTTTCCTTTTATCTTCAACTATCTGAATAAAAACACCTAAATCTTGATAGGTCTCATAAAAGTGCATTTTTTCAGTTATAGTTTTTTTTCTACACTCTAACAGAAACTAGTAGTATATCATATTTCTCAACAAAAATATTGAAGATAAAATTTCACTTCAACAGGATGTACTGTGCTTGAGAAATAGAGGAGATTTTTCACATTATTTTTTGTCAAAAATTTATTTTTTACGAAAATCAAAACAATGTGAAAAGTTACCGGTTTCATTTCTTGAAATATGTTCAGTCGTCTGAAAACATTTTGAAGTATCTGAAAATCTCGAGTCAGAATCGAGAAATGAGATCTCATTAAGCGATTGTATGTAGAATATAATTTAACGAAAGATATACAAAAAAAGAAATGATAGAATATTGAGATTTTGGCTTTTTTTTTTCAAGATTTAAATCTTGGTAGTTTCAATTTCCATTTAATAAACTTTAATGTGCGCGACTCAATATCGTTTCTATCTAAAACAAAAAATTAGATCGATAATAATTTCTTTTGAACTGCCTCATTTTTAATTCGAATAACAAATTATCGATATGTACTAAAAAAACAAGGTACCAATAAACTATTTACTCTATAGTGTGAAAATTGATTCAAAGTCAATAATACATATTTTATTTATAATTTTAAATATTTGATTATATTCATAGAGACTATACTACTGTAATATCGTGGTCAAAATCATCACCTATTCTTGCTATTGGCACATCTCGAGGTAATATTATTCTTTATGATCAATCAACAGCTAAGTATGAGAATAATTTATCTGTTTAATAATGAAATCATAAATCAAAATTTTAGAAAATTACCTTTACTCGGTCAACATTCTGGCCGTATAACAACAATGGCATGGAGTAAAGATAATTTATTAGCAATAGGTGCTAATGATAATCGAATATCAGTTATGTCATCAACTGGAACTGTTCTTCAACGATGTGATACAACTGATACACCAAGGCATTTAAAATTTTCAGAAATGAAACGAGAAAAACGAGGAGCTTATGAAGAAAGCACAGTTAGTTTTTCGACTAGTAGAATAAAAATATTTCAAAAAATAAATTTTTATTTTTAGATAAGCGCAATTATTGGAAAAAAACATTTAGGCTTATGGACTGTTGGAGATCCAAATAATAGTGCAGCATCAACTACAGGTAGTCAATTGTTTACACTTAATTTTCAAGATAAATATGGAGATATTAGTGATTATCAATGGTAAGCAAAAAAAGAACAAACATTCATTTCTAATAGAAGAATTTTGTTTCTGAAAACAAAAAGGTTTGGTGATGGATATATTATGATTGGATTTAGTGGAGGTTATTTTATTGTTATTTCAACATATCATAAAGAAATTGGTGAAGTAAATAAAAATCAAAAGTTTTTCTTTTCTTTTGATTAAACTTCAAAAATATTCATCTCGATAGGAATTACATAAAACTCGTGATCATAAAGGTTATTTATCAAGTATAGCAATATCAACAGCGTTACATAAAGCAGCAACTTGTGGAAATGGTGGTATTAAAATTCATGAACTATCAGACCAATATGCTATTGATTCGATAATTACAATTGATGAAGGAAATGATAATTTATCTGATATTGGTTAGTTTCTTCTTCTTTTTTTTTGTTGATGAAACACGATCTAAAACAAGGAAACGTGTCTGGATCTCGTGAGATCTGAACTCATGGAACTCTTCAAAGTGTAAATTCACTCACGAAATCCTCGGAACTCAGGCTACTCGAATAATTGAAGTAACTCTAGGAACTAAAAAAATTGTTGAAACTTAGGTAACATATCAACCCTAATGTTTCAAACAAAATTGACTTCATCACAAATTTTAATAAATTGTAGTGATATCTTACATTCACAAATTTGGGATATCCGAAATGACAAGTATACGATACAATTTATTCTGTGGATATTCAAATATGAGTGTGACTGTGAGTGTAGAGAGAATCAAAACCCACAATCAGATTTCGGTCAAAGGACTAAAGAATGGAGGAGGATGTGAAATGATGATTGAGGGCATGTAAGAGTGGATATTCGAAAAAAATTCGCATCTTTCGCTAGGAATAATTGAAAATTTTCGATCATTGAGGGATATATATCCCTCCATACGCCTTCGATCACGCAAGTCCTGTCCATACTCATACTCTTCCGAAATGTGTATAAGTGCTGTGAATGAGGTTGCACGTTTGAGAGTTCAGAACTGATGGAATCCGGCCACTAATGAGGATTGTGCTTATAGTCTTTTTTTTTAAATAGAACTCATTCTTTTTTTCGTGTGATACATGTAGCTTGGAGTGTTGATGGTCAATTATTAGCAGTATCAAAAAATGCAGGTGCTGTTTATGTTTATTTAACAAAGTTATCAATGTTAGCAAGTGTTTGGCAACAAAAAATAGCTTTTATGACATCACTATGTGAAGTATCGATTTATGATCATCAAACAAAAACAAAAGTAAATTAAAAGAAAATATTTGATAGATTTAAGAAGAGAACAAAAATATGTTTGTTTTTCTTTTTTGTTTTTTTAAAATTAAGATTGATAATGTTCATTTAACAACAGAAATTGAACCGAGTGTACTGGCAATGAGTGATCTTTATATTGCCGTTGGATTTAATAATCATGCTTTATATTATCGTATTCAAAGTTTTGAAGGTTTCATTGAAGTTTTCGAAAAACCAAAAAAAAAAACTTTGAATTTTTTTTTTTCAATAGAAGTCATCAAAGCTTCTGAACATGATTATTTAAGTACAATATCAGAATTACAAATAAATTCTCATTATGCAGCTGCTTTAATGACTGGACGTATTCAATTACATATGGTTTGTAAAAATAAATTTTATTTTTTTTTTTGTTGTTCGTGTTTTTATAATGAAAGAAAAAAAAATTTTAGATTGAAGAATCAGAACAACACAGTGAAGAACGTCATTCAATTATGTTTCCATTACCTGATACAAATGATGGAAAAGTTGTTTGTTATTGTCTTACAAGAGATTTTCTTATTTATGGTACCGATGTAAGATTAAATTAAATTGGGAAATAAAGATATTTATGATGTTTATTACTTTTCTTGGTTTTTAGAAAGGTACATTAATATTTTTTCATATTGAAGAATGGCAAATAGTTAATAAATTTGATAAACATAAAACAAGTATACAAAAATTATTTACAGAAAATTTTGGTACATCAGTAGCATTTATTGATCAAAAAGGTGATGGATATTTATATAATGTCGTAAGTTTTCCTTTTATATAAAATTTTTTGTATCTTAAGAAAATGTTTATCTAGTTTTTTGACCATCCAAGTATTATTCAAATACCAAATCTTCCATCGGGAACAAAATCTATTCTATGGGAAACTAGTTTGGAAAATGAGGTAATATTATAGTTTTATGTTTCATATGAGCATTGAAATTGATGAAGCTATTCTTCAGTGATGTATAGTCATTTTACTGCTTTTTTTTTCACTAATGAAGAACTGTTTTCAACTGACACCTTTCGTTCAAGTTCATACTTTTCTTATAAGTAGAACTGTGTGAGACTAGAAGAAACTTAGAAGGATTCTTCTCTATGAGCTGCCATTTTGGGATTATGGTCATTACACTCGTATTTTTGCCTAAAACTTTACCGACGGATATCTCTTGTAGTTAATAGAATCTCCTAAAACTTTCAATCAGAAAGAATTATCTCTTCTCGAGATATCAAATTCACAAAAAACCAGAATATTCCAGCAAAAGTACAAAAAATCTTGTTCTTTTGATGGATTTCATATTTCAAAAAGACACGACTCTTTTTGATTGAAATTTTAGAAGATTCTAATAACTTCAAGCACTGTTCATTGGCAAAGTTTCAGATCAAGATTTGTTTGTCCAATTTTTTTATGAATACCATACCGAAGATAAAAAGCCTTATGTAACGAAGGCTATTTTTCTGTCGGTAAAATTGAACTTAACTCAAAATTTTCTATACTTTGCAAACTGGACTGTTTTTAATAACTATTTCCTTTGTTTACTATGCAAATTGAAAAATCCTATACTTAAACTCAATTATTAGTGCACTCTTCTATTTATATACAATCGTTTAATCGAGAATTTTTTTTACTCGAATAGAAAGTTAATTCATTGTTTTTTCTTTGTCATGATTTTAGTGGATATTCATTAGTTTTGATTCTGATTCCATAACAACATATTCTGTCTATCGAGACTCTTTAAAAGGTCCTCAAATAATGTTTGTTGGTACAACACGTTTACCAATATTTGGTTCAGTACCATTACTTCTTAATACTGGTCTTCTTCTTTTACTTGATTCAAGTGGAAAAATAGTTCAAACTAAATTAGAAACATATGGATTTTTAAATGATTCAGGCGAACAAGAATATACACTTGATGATGCTATAGATCGATTATCGAAAGCTATTCTTATGAAACGGTATTCATTTGAAAAGAAAAACGAATAATTCATTTTATTTAATTTATATTTTCTTAAAGATATGACGATGCAATGTTTTGGGCTAAACAACTTAATGATAGTAATGAATGGAATAAATTTGCAACTGCTTTACTCTATTCATTAAATATTGATTACGGTAGAAAGCCTAAAAATTTCTTTTCGTTGTTTAATATTCTCAATCGATATATTTTAGCTATAAAAGTTTTTCGAGAAATCGGTCATTCGGGTATGGTTATGGCACTTGAAGAAATAAAAGTAAAATATTTTATTTTTTATCTTATAAAATTAAATTTCTTTTTTTTTTCTTCTTATAGCATGTAGAAGATAAAAATCTTGTTTCTGCACATTTTGCTGCTCTTTTTGGTGATTATGATCTTGCACAAGAACTTTTTCTTAAATGTGGTTGTCCACTTGAAGCATTGAATGTATAAAAAAAATTTTTAGAAAGAATTTTTTTTTCTTTTCATAAAGATAATCATATTTAGATGCGACGAGATTGTATGCAATTTGAAGCAGCAATGACACTTGCAAAAGCTTATGATCCTGAACAAATTCCTTATATATCGACAGCACACGCTGAACAACTTGAATTTACGTACGAGAAAAAAAAGCAAAACATTTAAAATATTATAAGAAAATGTCTTGTTTTTTTTTCTGTTTATTGTAGTGGAGATTCAAGTTCAGCAGTTAAATTTTATGAACAAGGTATAACTAAAAAAGAAAAGGATTTACAACATGATCAAAAATGTTTCATTGGTCTTGCTCGATGTTATATTAAAGTTGGAGATATTAAAAAGTAAAAAGAAAAATTATAAAACGTCCTTTATTTTTCCTTTTTTTTAAAGAGGTACTACAATTGCATTACGTTTACCTGGCAAAGAAATAAAAGAAGAATGTGCAAAATTACTTGAAGGATTGAAACAATGGGCCGAAGCGGCGGAATTATTTGAAAAAGCTGAATGTTGGGACAATGCTGCTATAGCTTATATTAAAATGAAAAATTGGTATATATATGTTAACGTTAAAATTAGAATTCGGTCAAATTTTGCATTTCTTCGAACAAAATTAGAATCGAACTAGAAGTTAAATAACTTACAGTTCATATGATTTTAACCCATTGATCCATAGTTTTATACGAACCTAGTTTAATGATCCTCTTCTACTCAAAAAGGAAAAACGAACATTCAATTATTCGCTTTTCGAAATGCGTTCTCTGACATTTTGCACGGGATCGAGTTGAAACTTAGTCGAGAAAGTGAGGATGTCTAACCCTAAAACCCGACACTATTTAGCTCAACATCATGTAATATGTTGAATGATGTATTTCGAAAAGAGAATGACGGAAGACTTCTTTTTTAGAGGAAGAGAGAGAGAATCTTAAAATGACACATAGCCGAATAAAAAAAACTGCTCTTCTACATGAGTATTGTTTTAAAGCGCATCTCTTTTTACATTCGATTCTTCACTCATTCATCGATCCACTGGTATCAGTGTTTGATGTAGATAATACTTTGTGAAATAGAGTACTGCAACCATCAGGTCGGGTACCCATGCCCGTTGCTATGTTGGGCTAGTAGAGTTACAGAAAAGGGTTGAATATGGGTATAAAAAATAACGATTTATGGAGACATGAATTTCATTTTTGACAGTAAAATTCATGAAAAAGCTGAAAATATGTATTTTTAATAACAATATCCTTGATCACATTGTTGATTGGTTATTCTGTTAAACCATCAGTTATGAATTAGAGTAATACAGCGCACGGATACGAATAGGGCACAGGTAAATAATATCGGTTCAAGTTGAATATGGATACTCTGTTGTGACATGAAAAGAACTTTTTAGTAATTCAAACTCTAACTGTCTTTGTCTTGACCAAATCACTTCTAATGCAATTCTAATTTTGTTCAATTAAAAGTGGAATTCCAATTTTGTTTGAACAAATCCACATTTTGACTAAATTCCTATTTTGGCCTTGACATACATTTGAAATTCTCTCAAATTTTTTAAAATTTTTACATGAAAATGTTTATTTAATATTTCTATTAAGGGTTAAAGTTAGTGAAATTCTTCCAAATATTACCACACCAAAGATTCATTCAATGTATGCTAAAGCACGAGAAAATGAAGGCAGATTTAAAGAAGCATGTGCTGCTTATATGAGAGCAGGCGAATGGGAAAATGCTATCAGGTAAAATATACTTTTTTACATAACAATTTGTATGGTTAACAACAGAAAAAGAAATTACAAATAGATTAGTTTATATTGCACATAATACTTCATAAAGTCATATTTAAATGCATTTTGTTGTTCTACTGTTAACTGACTATTTCGAAGTCATTTTACTTCGGTTCAAGGAAATTTTATTATAGCTGTGTATTCGAAAGCTACCAGAAAATGTATCCAAGTACAATATCTAGTGTTTGAAATTAGTTCATTCAATAGGATTTAAAATAAACATAAAACTGATGATATCAAAATGATATTATTCAGAATGAATCAAGCTAAATTTGGCAGTTAGAAATTCTCTAGACTCACAAAATTGGCATAGAAAATTTTATAAAATTCATCTTCGAATGATAATCATGATGAATCTAACGCTTTTCGAACTTTTTCTATCAAGTCACTCCATATATTTTATCAGCAGACGGAAGAGATTAAGTTGAGAACAAGCATGGTATTTAGAGCGATGTAGCAGCTATAGGTGAGAGCTAATGATTCTGAACAATTGCTCTCTTTTGGTACCGTTAAAATGTATAATATTTTTTCAAATAGATAAAACCATTGGTTTAAATAAATCCCAAGAAAAAAATGCCGATAGTTCATCTTTACTTTTATTTCAGAATTCAACTTAATCAATTAAAATCTCCTGAACAAGCCGTTAAAATTGTTCGTGAAACTCAAAGTATTGAAGGTGCTAAAATGGTTGCAAGATTTTTTGAATCAATTAATGATTATAGTTCTGCATTGCAATTTCTTGTTTTATCAAAATGTTATAATGATGCTTTTACTATGGCACAACAAAATGGACTTATGGAACTCTATGCTCAAGTTATCGGTAGAGAGAAAATTAAACAAACAAAAAATTATTATTAATATATTTCTTTTCTTTAGAAAAAGTTCTTAAAGATGGTCGTGATATTCCATTAGATGATCTTGAAGGTGCAGCAATATTTTTTCAAAATCAAAATAATCATTTACTTGCTGGAAAATTTTTTATGTTTGCACAAAATTATGATCGAGTAAAATTTATCAAATAATTTCTTCTACTTTTATTGAAAATTAAATTTATTCTTCTAGGCATTAACACATTTAATGCGTTGTACTGGTTCAAATGAAAGTAAAGGTATTGATTTAGCTATAACATGTGTTGGAAAAGCACGTAGTCAACAATTAACACAAAAATTACTTGAATATTTACTTGGAGAAAAAGATCAAATACCAAAAGTAAAAATGAAAACAAATTTCATAAAGAATTTTCAATAAACAATTTAATTTAATTTAGGAAGCAAAATATCTTTTCCGATTTTATTTAAGTTTGGGTCAATATATAGAAGCATCAAAAACAGCTATTATAATAGCTCAACAAGATCAAGAATCAGGAAATTATCGAAGTGCTCGTGACGTTCTTTTTACAATGCATCAAGAACTTAAAGCACAACGTACAGCTATACCATTTGAAATGGCTAATAGTTTAATGTTATTACATAGTTACATTCTTGTTAAAATTCAAATTAAACTTAATAATCATGTAAATTACTTTGTTTTCTTTTTTATTTTCAAGTTTTTAAAATGTTTATATGTTATTTAGAATCGTGCAGCTCGACTCCTTAATCGTGTTTCACATAATGTTAGCAAATTTCCAGCCCGTATGCTTAAATTTATGTGATTTAATATAAAATCTTTTGCTTTTTTGTTTTCGAATAGATATTGTTCAAATTTTAACAACAACAGTTATTGAATGTCAAAAAGCAGGAATGAATAATTCAGCATTTAATTTTTCTCTTATACTTATGAGATCCGAATATCGTGAACAAATCGATTCAAAATATAAGAAAAAGATTGAGGCACTTGTTCGGTAAGAAAATAAAATAAACCCTTCGACATATTCGAAGACTTCCTTTGAGTTTCGATTTTTGTGAAACTCATATATATTTTTCAAGAAAATATACTGACGAGGGAACATACTTAGGTGTTCAAGCCCTTTAAGGCTCATCTTTTGGCGATAGATAGACCTCAATGAGGTATGAAAAACCCCAGAAGGATATGTGCGCTTAGGCTTTCCCTCCAGAGTTATAGCCATTTTAGTAGAATTTCGGCCTATAGCTCGGTATGTACCAACAAATCAAATGACATTATTTCAAGCTGAAACTTAGCCCATAGATAGCTATACTTGTGACTAGAATGCACTGAAAATTTCAGCTGAAAAGAATGTTTCCTTCATGGGATATTGTATTCCCAAAAAATATGAGATTCGCGCATCTTTTATAGCATATGAGTCAATTTTGTGAGTTTAATATCTCCCGAAAGGAATATTCTTTTCAGCTGAAATTTTCAGTGCATTCTAGTCACAAGTATAGCTATCTATGGGCTAAGTTTCAGCTTGAAATAATGTCATTTGATTTGTTGGTACATACCGAGCTATAGGCCGAAATTCTACTAAAATGGCTATAACTCTGGAGGGAAAGCCTAAGCGCACATATCCTTCTGGGGTTTTTCATACCTCATTGAGGTCTATCTATCGCCAAAAGATGAGCCTTAAAGGGCTTGAACACCTAAGTATGTTCCCTCGTGAGTAGAAAGTAAAATCGATGTTTTTGCGATTCTTTCCTAAGATCTTAACGACTGGAGGTGGTAGAAGGAAAGTCAAAGATTATTGAATACGTTTCACTCGTAACAGAAAAAGGCTCGTCAATATAATAATACTGCGTAGATCATTCTAAAGCTTTCTAGAATCTTCCAAAGCATTCAATGAAACAACGATTTCTACTGTAGATTACAAATAGTCTAAATATAAGATGTTTTGATATTTAATGTAGCGAAAGGATCTTATTGTAGGTGTCAATCAGTACGGCGGTGGTATTATTAATCTAGCAGAATCAGAATAGAATGATTATTAAAAAAGTATGAGCTTACTGAATTCTAAGTTAAGATAACAGTCAACATTGTATGTCAGAGTTCGTTGAGAGAAAGGATGGTGTATTCGGAAGCTTACTGAACGATTTAATCAATGTGTATAGTAAGTTAATATGATGGTTGAAACGAGGAATTAAATAATATTTGTCACTTCCTATGGCATATATATCGTATATATTGAAGATGTATCTGACAACACAAATAAGTTTTTTTCAGTATCAAGATGTTAAATGAATCTAATAAATTAATAGAATAGTAATTCTAAATTCAAAAATTTTCGAAATGATCAGATTTCAGAGCTCGCATATCAGCTATAGAAATTGTTATAATTTTTGATTGATTCATTTATTTGGCATTTTTGAAATAAATTATTTTAATCTCTCTAACAATATACTATAAATTTATAACATCCAGAGTTTCTCAGTTCCACACTTTGATCTCTTATTAAGTTACAATGACAAGTTTTTTACAAATAATTTCTGCAGCTTATTGAATGTTTTTAGCATCTATATTAATAATAATATCTACGTTCAGTATGAACAATGTTTTGTTTCCGTTATCATAATAAAAGTGAGCAGTCTACTGAAAATGTGTTTCTTTATTCAAAACATATTATGGAATCACTTCAGTGTGCTTTTGCAGCATAATCTACAATAGAGTTCTTTAAGTTCTCCATACGAAAAAATCGTTCTCATAGTTGTAGAACCTAGTTGGTGCAGTGCACAATCTCACGAGTCATATCCGAAGAGACCTTTCTACAATACGAACATATTCGGTAAAATCTCGTTGGATATTAATTAAAAATCTCTTTGCTTTTGCAATTTCTACTAGAAATTCAGAAACGTTTTTTGCTGAAACCAATGCATTTATTATTGAATAAGACATAAACTTCAGATATACATGTCAAGATTTGTTCTATAAAGTATTTATTCTGAGCGTGAAAACGCACTTCTTTTTGCAAAAAGATCTACACAAATAATCATACTCATTGATATTAACTTGAGACTAAATAAATATACTAGCAGTACATTTCACTGTGAATGAATTCCATCTAAACTATTAAAATCTCAACATAAGCAACTAGTTTCAATAAGTTTAATAAAAACCAAATTAATTTTCTTCTTTTTTGTGGTTATTTAACTATTGAGAAGGTTAAATGTTGTCAGTGACAGATCTTATCTTTTAAAAAAAGGAATGCTATTAGACATTGTGCCAAGAACTTAGGGTATGTTGACTGTATTGTCCTAAGAACATTCTTCTTACCAACTGTTTTCACCCATTTTCATAGAGTATTTTCTATGTCTTTCTTAACCCACGCGTGCGGGGTTAGTCAAATAAAATCGTTTACTAACGATTTATTGAGCAAAATTATTTGACACTAAGAATTACTAGTAAAACTACCAAAAAATATGAAGTTTTTTAAGGACTAAATATAAGACATAGGGTCTTCGAATGTATCGAAAGCTTTGAAATATATCAAAAAAAGAATTTTTTTTTTCTAATCTAGAAAACCAGATAAAAGTGAAAATGAAGAAGATTTTTCTCAATGTCCACATTGTCATCAACGTGTACCTGATTATGAATTATTATGTCCAAGTTGTCAACTTGCATTACCTTATTGTATTGTTACTGTAATGAAGTGTTTTTCATTTTAAAGAAATTTAAAATATTATTAATTAAATTTTCTTTTTGAATATAGGGAGCTCATATTATTCGAGAAGATTTATGTTTATGTCCATCATGTAATTTTCCGGCAATTCATTCAGAATTTTTAAAGTAAATAGAATTTTATCAGATTTTATTTTTATTTTTATTTTATTTCTGTTTTAGGTATTTAACTGTAGATGATACATGTCCAATGTGTACAACAAGAATCGATGGATCACGTATTATGAAACTTGATAGTGGAGCAGCCGTAGATAGTTTTATTGCACAATCATCGGATATGTCTTGATTGAAATATTCGTTATTTTTTATTTAGAAAGTACTTTATACATGTTGTGTACATCATGCTTGTTATATGAATATGAAATAAATATTGGGATATTGAAGAGAACTTGTAGAAAATGGAATTTTCTGTTTTTATGCTTTTGACAATTTTAGAAAATGATGAATAAAAAACAAAATAAAAAAAAAAAGAATTTTTTAGTATTCAATTTATGTTTGATTATTAAAGAGAAAAACTCTTGCCGAGTCATTAACATAAATCTGGAAGTAGTGTGTCCTTCTTTTTGAAATTGTATTCATTTATAGAAAAGCTTTCGGTGTGTAATCCGTGCAAGATTTAAATACAAAACACAATTGATCCGTTCCACTTATTAAGAAGCACATCAAATATGTTACTCGCATTATTCTTGACGGTTAGATAGACTAAAATATCGAAATATCTGTCGAATTCTATGACGCTATAGGGAGCTTTACCCATTATTTCTATGTGTTACGGTTTGTGAGGCGGAAGTGCAAATGGTTTACTCCTCTGGTTATATCTTTCAAACACTCCTTTCATTAATTTGTTATTAATGGATTTTTAATGAGTTAATAATGAGATATTAATGTGTTATTAATTAAAAAATAAGCTCTTGCTAACGGTATGTCGAAATATCTGTAACAGTCTGAAGAGGAGAAATTCAAACTTCTACCGTATAGACTTCAGTACTTCTTTTAGATTGTGTTTCATCAGAACATTTTAATCGGTAAGTCGATGATATGTTTGAAATCCCATCAGATGAAACTCAGATATTGACGTGATTTTATATTAATTATACCAGAATTATAGTTTCTTTATGCCAAAAATAAAGTGATTACAAGACATGAGATAAAAGAGATTTATTTCAGCATAAACTCATAATAGATAGACATAATTACACGAAAATTCTAATTGAAAGCTTAAAGAACATCCCCTCCAATCAGAAATACACCTATCCTTAGAACGCAATGACAAAGATAACATTTCTTTTCCTTATTAAGAATGTAGTTCCCTGTGGATTGTTTATATCAATCATAATTGCTTTATTCGAAGCTGTAGCCGAAATGTATGTAACAGGGAACAACGGTTTCGGATTAGGTCAAACACTTGTTTTTTTTTTAAAGTTTTTTGACTAACTCCAACAGATTTTGACTCTTTTTTTTACATTACATAAAAATTAAGAATAGTTTCGAAAAGAGTATTCAAAACTAAACACAACCGACATGAAGCATAACTAAGAGCATAGTAATTCTCAGTACGGGAAATATTCTAAACCTCAATTAGCAATTCAAGAAATTAGTCTATGCTAGCTTACAAAAAAATATGCCCAATATTGATATTTATTGTACTTGTATCAATTCTTCATATGAGTTATGTTCAGTTTTGAACGCTCTTTTCGAATCTATTCTAAGGTTTTGTCTAATGCAAAGTACATATGTCAAAATCAGTTAGAGTTGATCGAAAAAAAATAAAAAAAAAAAACTGCAAATTTTTGTTTGATTCCAAAACTTTTGTCTTTTATTTTATAAATTTCGACTACAGCTTCGAATACAGCCAAAAAAAACTTACCATGGTTGACGTAAACAATCCACAGGGAATTGTATTCTTAATAAGGAAGAAAATGTCATCTTTGACATCATGTTCTAGAAATTAGTACATCCTTATATTGAATATTCATTGTTTCGATATTTTTCACACAAATCATAATTTATAATTGCATTGTTGAAACGTGAAAGATTATTAATCGGTTGTAAACAATACTAATTGTTCGCTTGATAGAAACAGTAATATTTGTAGTTGTATGTACAAGAAGGTTCGGGATAAAACATCATGGCAGGAAGAATAGAAAAACTGAGAGAAAATATTTTTTGTATTTTCTCTCATTAATCACTGTTTCATTCGTTGACATGTACTCGAAATGTCTTGTTGTTGTGTTAAATGTAATAGATGATATTTTAATAAAAAAAGATCAACTCCTTTAGATCGGCAGACAGTATTAAATGGAGAATCAGATAAGATATAATCTTTTTCCATTTCTAGAACATGAGCTGTCTCTGCTTAAAACCAGTAAGATATTCATCAATTCAATCTTATAGAAAGAAAAAGAAGACGAAAATATGGATTATCAATAAAATGACAACTGTGCCTTGATACAATGTCACTATGAACAGATAATTACATTAAAAACTATATTAAGAAGCCTAGACGTACAATAAAAGTCTCACAGCTCTGAAATGTTGTTTTCTGATGTCTATATGAAAGTTATACTGGTTAAATATTTTAGTTTATCCTATAAGATATATTTAATTAATTTTACGATTCTAGCTTCTGGATGTCAGAAACAAATCTTATTAATGTGTTGTTCTGTTCAAAAAGATGTGGAATAAATTTTGACAGAAAATCTTCAGTAAGGTTTACCTCGTTTGATAACATATTATTTCATCGCACTGAGCAATTTATACACAGCGTATTATGTATTCTGATCAATATTAGCTATGAAAAACTTGAATATACAAGTAGAAATATATAGCATGATATTCCTTCATAAAAGTGCACTATTGAATATGAACATATTAAGATGTATATAAAAACATACGAAGTTTGGATCATTGTGCTTGACTTTAGCCAAGATCATCGATTTAACATTGTCTATTCATCAAAACAAGTCAGTATTTAGAAATCCATTTTAAATTTAGTTAGTTATATATAATTTGTGAAACCGGAATCAATATTTTAATTATTAAAGTTTCCGATTAGAATAAATTATTCAAAACTAAGCTTGAATTCACACATATGTTATGTCTATCACATTATTGTAACTGACTAGAATTGATAATCATCTTACAGCTGATAGAAATGGTCTCTTGTTCACATTTATGAACTGACTATTTTCATTGTCACTATCAATTCTAGAAGGTTTTCATCCTGATTTTAAAAAAATCTGCTGTCACTTATCAAAAAAGAATATATCAGAGAACCAAACCTATACTTCTTTTTACAAAATGTACTGATCAAAATTATTTTATCTGTTATCATTAAATATAAAAGTTGAAAAGATGAATCGCAATTTTACATTAAAAGTTAAAATATTAATTAATTAGACATTGATTTAATTCTAAAAATAGTTCACATATATAATAACATCAGACATTGACGATAAAACAAATTTCAAAAAGTAATGAAATCGTTTTTAAAAAAAGATTTGACACTCTTAAATTCAATATAAACCTTAATTTACACATCAAAAAAGAAGAAGAAAATAAAATGTTCATAACTCTGGTTTCTATGAGAAAAAAAAAACAAATGTCTAATATCACCTTTGAGGCAAAAGAGTAAAAATAACATATCAATCAATTGCGTCGATGTCGTCGAATGAAATGACGAAGTTCAAATTTTAATGGAATTGCTCGAGTATGAGTTAAAGTTAAAAGTTGGCATTGACAACATGGTCGTTGCGATGGTGGTAAAGAAGCATGTCCATGATAACAAGGCATTGGATGAGAATACCTTTGGCCCATATTATGGAACAAAATGGCGTGTACTAAATTAGATTGTAACAATACGAAATACTAATGTGCTCTTCCTCTCTTTTTCTATATATATATATATGGCACAATTCAGAAGGAAAAGAAACAGAATAAGACAACGTAGGCGCTTTCTGACGTACGCTATCAAATAATTACTATTTGTTATATATATTTTTCTTTTGCTGTAAAAAAAAGAGAAAGAGACACAGATGATAACAGGAGTAAAATAAAAATGCTTAACTACCAAGTGCTCATTAAGAAAAAAATTTCTATGTAAGATATTTCAATATATATTTTTAGAAACGTTGTAGAGAGTTGTGGATCTATGTCTTTTTAAGGCTTCGACAAGAAGCTGAAATCTGAAGAAAATATAGTTTCTGAATCGAACTCATGTTTGTTCAATACATTTAAAGTTTTTACTTAGTTGAAAAGAGTAATAGGTATGATATTAAAAAAGAAAATTTAACAACTGGTTGATAAACCAAAATCATCGTTGAAAATGATTAAACCAGCACTAATAACAAAATCTTCTATCGTATAGAATAATTTGAATTATATTTATATAAATAATATTGAACATAAATGTGTTGTAGAAAGATGAGAGCTCAGATTTTGACGACTCACTTCCGATTAACAAAACTGAATTTCTAATTCTAATTTCGAACTTAGATTTAAGTCTGGAAGGAATTGCAGCTCTTTAAATCTTTGCAACATTTAAAATCTTTTTATATATGTCATCACTCTCTGAAAATGCATTCTGTATATTTAATATAATCAAATTTAAAATCAATAAAAGTATTTGAAAAATATTCAGATTCAGTTTTGCATTTTATCCGTTCACTATGCGTATGTCACATCATTACTTAAAAACGTTATTATAATAATTAATGGATATTATTAAAGTTTACAGAAAAAACAATTATACTTGCATTTATCTCTTGACATCACTTATACTTTGTTGGGTCATAGTATTGAATCCTTTATCACTAAGTCTTCGATGAAATGATATGAATAATGAAATGCCCTCTACTAGATGATTCTGTTTCGTTCAAGTGCTTGCGCAAAGCCAAATTGAAATTTGAATTAATTGAAGTACTTGATCGATAGAGAACAATATTCGTCACATGATAGTAATTGAATGGTCAAACTCTTCGTGGATTACTTGTACAAAGTGATTGTCGTAATTGAAGTAAAGCTCTTGAAATACGGTATATTTTATTTGAAATAATATAAAAATCAAAGAAAGATTTTGTTTCTTTTTTTTTCTTAGTTATAATATAAACCATTTGACAAAATGATTATATGATTAAAATTAACAAGAAAGTGATGCTGCNTTGCAAAATGAAAGATTATTAGTATAGGAATATCAATTAGTTTGTTTTTAAGGAAATAGTTTAAGTCAATCAAAGAAATTAAGTTTATCATTCTGATTGTACTCTTTTTCATTACAATTAAATTTTT